CTGTTTGCAGCTCTGTGGAGGTATCCAAGTTCTGGCTGCTTGCAGGAAAGCTCTCAGAGCTCAGTGCAGAGGATTGCAGGAAGGTGGTAGGGCATGGGGTGAGGCGGGAGCTGCCTTTGCTCTCTACTCTTTCTGGCCAACTAGATGGCTGGGCAGTAAAGGGGGTGTTCGGAAACACAAAGACATTTGAGCCAGAGAAGCCACAAATGGAGCTTAACGCTGTAACACACAAGGTTAAGGCAGCTTGTTTCATCAGAAATAACCGTGAAGGGAAGCACAGGGGCTTTATACCGGCTGTCGTTTTACCAAAAGGGGAAAAATAATTCTGTTCCTTGATCCCTAGCGGTCGGGTCACTGTCTTCAGCCTCAAAGAAACTGGCCATTCTCTACGGCTGACATTACAAACATGCTCTTCCAGATCTACTTACAGGAAACATAAACCTGAAAGGAAATCCAAATTATGCCAGAAATAATTTAGCACTAATCTCTCCCAAACTAAATACAAAAGATTATACAAAAATTATAATGTATACCAATACAATTTGGGCTGAATTCAGTCAGTATTTTCCCTCCTGCCCTGGACTACAGCCTTTAATAGGGATGTGTGTTTTTCAGCATGGTATCATCAGCTCCCCTATTCCTTTGTACAAATTTCTGCTATTGCATCAGCCTGATGAGCAGCTAACAATTTCACTCTGCTTAGCCTGGTGTGCTGTTCTTGCTAGGGAGTAGCAGCAACTCATGATATGAAAAGGAATATAAAATACACTGAGTTCAATGAAAAACGTAAGCAGACAAAATACAATAATGGATTGTGTTAGATCAGTATAAATCTAAAAAAAAAAAAAAAAAGTGTATTATACATTTTCCAGAAATGCAGTAGGTTCTGCAGAGACTAACTAACTTTACCTGTAAGGGATTAGGATCTTCATTCTAACTGGTACCTTAACAGATGCCTTTTCTGAAGAAAATTACAAGCTCTGTAACAGATCTAACATTTTGAATAGGACATGTTGGCACCTATGCTGTGATGAAGAGCAACTGTGGCTCCTTCTTCAACATCCAGGACAAAATCAAAGCCCACTTCTGCTCTTAAACTTGTTTAAACTGTCCTGCTGTTACAGGCAACTGCTGTGCATAAATTCAGGGAATGCAAAGAGGAATCCACCCAGCACACTGACTTTGTAAGCAGACTACATTTTTCTCTTACCTGAAAAATTCTTTGACATAACTAATAGCCTTAAGCAGGAAGAATCCAGCTGTATTTACAGCCTGCAGTACTTTAGCTGCAGCAACAAAGTGACCTCCAATACTGTACTAATTAAATTTGCATGCATAGATTTGAACAGCAACCCATGCTGACCCCAAAAGTACTTCCTTTTCTCATTTCTAATATATTTTTCTGCCTGTCACTGATGTTCCCCAGGCTTTACTTCTTCAGAGTATTCTCCTTAGAGCCAGTGCCTGTATGGAACTCCTCCTCCAATATATACGTATACCTAGACTAGTATTTCAGCCTGAACAAAAGTGCAGTCCAAATCCCAAATGGCTTACAGCTCTCCTCCAGGGAAAAACATTCCTACTTTTTTACCTTTGATTTTACTCATTTTTCAAAACCAGATTATTCTACTGCCATTTCTGTTATGCATGAGCCTATCAAATACTTCTATTTTTCCCTACTAAAATTTCTTACATTTCTTGTTTGCTTGCTTGCATTTGTCTCCATTAAACATGGAATGCTTCATGTATAGGAGTCCCATAAGTAATACCTAGTTAAAAAGAACACTGAATTCAGCTTACAAAAGGCAAATTATAGGTCATGACTATGCATGTTAGTAATGTCCCTTCTCATTTCATTCAGAAACACTAACATGGTTTGAATCAATTAATCTAGACATAACATTACTGCAGATTTTTTCATGTTTTATTTGTGAGGAGTGGATATAAAATAATTTCATGGGAAAATGTGTAATAGATTATTCAGGTAAAACTTCTCTGCCTTCAATAAAAATATTTGCACTTGACAACCTAGTTGAGGTCCAGGGCAAGGAAGGAAAAACACATTCCTCCTTTATCTGTTGCTTTATTTTTACACTCAAAAACCTAGTTACAGACCAGCATTTAGTTATGTCTATAATGTCTATGACATTATGACATATGTCTATGTCTGTTACATATATGATATGTAACAGTTTGCCAAATTCCTGATGCATCGCTAAGCCTATCTGAGAGATCTTAGGACTATTTTGGAGACWTTTCCATTTAAAATATTTTACAAAGGCCTAGCTAAGCCAGAATGCAGCACTGCGGCAACACTGCCCGCAGGAAACAGGTCATGCAACGTGGACACCGCCGATTGCCAAGCAGGAATCAATCAGGAATCCCATGTATGGCAAAAAAATCGCTGCTAAGCGGTATGGCCCGGTGGGTGGATGCTGCCCGTTGGGTGGATGCTGCGCAGGGCACAGAGATGTCCTGACATTTCTTGATGCCAGCAGGACCGCGCGGGCCGCGGGTGCCGGTGGGAGGCACAAGCAGGGCGGCTGCGGCAGCGCCAGGGCACGAGCGCTGCTCCTCCTGCCTCTGCATGTAGTTTTTCCTCAAAATTGATGTTTCTTCTCCATTTTATTCACAACAAGCTTTCAGCAACCTTTTTTTTTCTTTTTTTTTTTAAAGAATATGTACTTATGCATCTACAAATACACTTAGTTTGCACTGCTTATACAACACACAGACACATACAGTATATTACCATATTTTCATYTTACCTGTATGCTAGCGACACATAAACRCAAGTTYTTSCTTAAAAGGATAACTCAGGAATTTWGGGCTGAGATTTAACAGTCCCCAAGACACTCTGATTTAAATCATTTCATGATTTAACTGTTGAAATGATTCAGCGTTACTTGATTGCACTGACATGAAGACACAGATCTTTCTTCATSGGGTCTTTTCTGGTTTTCAGACTACCTGCATTATTAAAGACCCATTACAGCTCTGACCTCCAATTCACAATTGATCACCTAGCAAAGTTTTCATCACTTGACTAATTTTAGTGCAATAACTCCTCGGTATTTCAAGATTCACAGAGAATCAGGAGATAATTATAATATTTTAGAAAAGTATTTCAGGTGTTAGTGAAGCCAGCATCAAACATGCCACCATTAATTGTTGCCATTATTTAGATTACGGGAAATTCTTAATGATTCTTTTGGCTAAGAGATTAAACTCCTAAAAATATTAAAGCTTAAAAATAGATACAGAAGTAKATTTTCCACAATAGTGAGTATGATCCTTGCTCAGTAAGAAGCTTCAAGGATTGAGGAACGCATTGTACATGGCAGCAAGGGAGAAATGTCAGAAGGAAGAGAAACCCCCGCGGGCAGAGCCGCAGGCAGCCAGACCCGCTCTGCAGAGAGCGCCGAAACGGGAAGGAAAATCAAGATTTAGAAGCAGGGAAAAAGATCGCAGGAGTTTAGAGAGAGAATGGGAAAGGAAGGATAAGGGCTGAGAGGCAGGAGGCTAAACAAATGATACCAGGAGCTGGCAAATCCCCATGCAGGCGATAAAAGGAGGCAATAACAAGGTCACGAGCGGGCACAGCAAGGGAAGGGCTGCGCTGGTGCCAGCAGCGGGGCCGGCGGCTCGGAGCAGCAGTTGCTTTCTGAAAAACCAGCACGGGTCCTTCTGATGCGCACACTTGTCTGAAGGGCTTTCTCTTCCCGGAGGAAACTTCTCCAGAGTGTTATTTCTGCCTGCTGTAAGGGCACGGCGCTGTATTGTTCATTAGATAATACTACATTTTGTGGTCTTTAGGTTCCTTTTATGTAGGAAGCAAAGATTTAAGTACCAAAAAAAAAAAAAAAAAAAAAAAAAAGCTGATTTTTACTGTTTTCAAATGCACACACACACACACACACACATCAGGTCATGCTGTATGCACCAATTACAAACATGTTTGCATCAAGACCAAAAGCATTTCTCTGCTTTGACAGAAATTATTTGATTTGCAGAAGCAAATCTCAAGCCAAATCAAGTATATTTTGTGATTAGACATGCCTACAGGAAGCATAGATGCATATTAGAAGATACTTCATAATGTTTCTTGTATAATTATCAAGTGCACATTTACAGATTGATTTCTGTTCTACTGTCAGTTTAAATACCAGTTTCCCCGTTGGAGACAAATTGTCATAGCAAATTCTGACAGGATAAACCAGTTGGTGCAAAAGTAAAACTCATGGTAAAGAAGCGAAACCCAGATTGTCAYATGTAATTTACCTARTTAATTACACCTATATTTTATATTTTYAATATCCTTTCAGCTGTTTACTTACACAAGCAAAAATATTAATTCTTTAAAAAAAAAAGGATTTCATTTTATTAGCATTAGGAGTTAAATTTGAGACAAACAACCCTTTCTTATATTAACGTTCGGGGGAAAAAAAATGGTTAAATGGAAGATTAATTTCCTTCCAGGCTTTACTTTTTCTAGGTTATTAGAAAAGTGGATGCCTGTCTTATAATTAAGACATAGTTGATTTTGCCATTCAATTCTGTTTTAAAGGAAACTTTAAACAATCTTCTAGCCTAATTAACATTACCTCCTTTTACCTTAGTATTATGTGTTTGAATGAGTTTAAGCGCTTAGATCTACTGGGTTTCACAGAGTGTGGTGAGCATCAGTGAAATGAGGGCATATGGCATCTAATGACAGACCATATGGATGCGGGCACAGAGAGTCAACTGCACACGAGTATAGGACCAAGAAAGTTAGTGGCAAAGCAGCAAAGACAAGAGCAGCACCATTGAGAACCATGAAATGGAGATGCTTGGTTTCTTCAGAGACCATCCTTTAATGCTTGTCCATCCTTTAATGAAGCAAAGCAACGGCACTTAGACAGCATGCAGTTGTCAAATAATACAGCCTGCATTCTGCCTTTGGTTTGAAAAGGTATAAACCTACATCATTAACCTGAGTGATCRAGGAAATCACTTACCAACGCACAGAGCAGGTCAACTGCTTCCAGGATCAGTTCTTGGTGGCCAATGCGAGTGACCCCCAGTTCCTCAAGCTCCTGGTGAGTGATGTGGAGCAGCTGCTCCCCATTGATCTTTTCCCGTTCAAAGTTTTTTATGTATTGCTGGAGGCAATCATCAAGGCCTATTAAAAGCAAACAAGAAAGGCATTTTCAGAGAACACAGACAGTAACAATTCCATAATTTACAAATATAGAGGTTTCTTGGGAGTACAAGCACAGGACCTTGTTAGGATCTATTACAGAAAATGTGCAAAGCAAATACAAGCTGACTTCATTGACACAGTGCTGTGCACTGGCCTGCTCAAGGACAAGCTTTCCATCGCTATTTTCAACATTCTTTAGCATTTTAATATTACTTTAAGATGTCCATGGTTCTTACTAGAGAGACAGGGAGAAGAAGGAAGAAGCACAGAGAGTCACCATGTAGCAAACATTTTTCTTAGGATATCATTAAGTCCTAAGTATAAGCTTACCTCCAGACAAGCAGCATATTCTTCTCAGGATTCCTTTTCTAGAAGTCTTTGCAATTATTACATGATGATTATTACATTACTTTTGCTTGACTCCTACAAACACATGTATATATTATTTCTGTAACTGTATTTCAGTTTATAATATTATCCGTGTTAGTCGTCATGTTCATTAATTCAGTCATTTTAAGGGCGAAGTGCAATGATTGCAATATTTTTCTCCAACTGTTTCTTGATGAAATTATGTAAGCTCTTCCCTGTGCAGCACTCCACACAATCAGGGAATGCTAAATAGTATCAAACTGTGCTAAGAAATGAGAAAATGCCGGTATAATGGCAAGCGGGAGAACTTCCACCACCTCCACCGAGAGGGACAGGGTGCCCTGGGGTAGCAGTGGGTTACCTCGAAACCTCCACCTCCTTTTGCCTCCTCTTGGAAGAGTGGAAATAATGGCCGGAAAGCAGGAGGCCACAGAGTTACATCCAAAGAAAACTGATGGAAATTTTCAAAGCACTTCTCAGACGAGAATCTAAGCTGAAACAGGTAATAACGGTTCATATAACGTCTATGATTTTCATAGCCTCACTGTGAAACAGGCGCTGTGCTCGTTCACAAGTGCTGAAGCCAGGACCCGCGGTGGCTCCGTGATTCAGTCCGTGGCTCGTGGGATGGTTCTCAGGAACCGCACGTCCCTCCTCATGCTGCCTTCTCCTGTTCTGCACTCCTGAGACACCCTGGAAAGGTCTAACCCCATAATGAGCTTTCCTGAGATCAATAGCTTAAGTTTTCATATCTGAAAAATCTTCAGATTTTTCTATAATACTAAGATTTCCTATAATTTCAAGTTATAGGAGGGCRCTGGCCCAAAGCAGATACCTGGCGTAGAGATGCCAACCTGCTCCCATGGTTTCTGCTCGGGGAATCGCAAGGCCCAAAAGTTCCTGCACAAAGGCTGGGACTTCAAAATTGGTCACTGCAAGTTCTGCCTTCATGATTTGCTAAATAAAATTTGGAGACATTATATATTTCTGTTCATTGGTTGATTGCTAGAGAGTAATTCTTAGAAACACATTTCGGAGTGAATTCTAAAACCCCCACAAACCAGATTTGCTTTCAGCGTGAATTCTAAAACCCCCACATACCAGATTTGCTTTCAGCAAATACTTTCTGTAAAATATTCCTTTCTATAAGCAAATGAATCAGAAAAAAGTCACTGAAGCTGCCACTCAAGATGAAATTATTTTGAACAAGATCGAAGCAAATTTGTTGAAAAAGTTATCAGCAGCAACAAACAGGYAGTTGCAGTATTCAGAAAACCAAATGAATGTGACATTCCCCGAAAACTGAGGGGCCAGATGTATTAAATGTGCCTTTGTGCCAGACACAATCCATGACAGAAGAGCAAAATCTGAAATTTGTATTATTCATCCTGCTCTCTAATAGCTCCCCAGGGCGTCTTTAGAGGACGTTTCCTTAGCGGTGCCAACGCTATGGCAGCTACAACAGAATACAGAAACGCATCATTAGAGGACGGGCTGGCTCCGAACACACCAGCACCTGGGAAATACGGACTAGGAGGAAACGTGTCCAGTGCGGCTCTTCCAGCCACCCGGGAACGAGGGGTTGTTTTCCATTTTTCCCTTTGCTGTGCTTTAAAGGCTTGTGTTTGCTAAGCATGAAGACTAAAAAACCAGGAATGTAACGAGCAGTAATTTCATTCTCTACTATCAAGGCTATATATTTTTTTTTCCAAAGCATGAAAATAATGAAGAGGCAATTGCAAGGAGAACATTTGGACTCATCAGAGCCAAATGGAATATTTATCTCCTCAAGCCACTTAGGCCTCATTAGAATCTTTATGAAGTTTTCWCAATATAATTTCTGTTTACAGATCAGACATATTAGTTAAGACTCATAGCACCAAAGCACTAACAGGCATTAACCCTATTTTGTATGTAGGTAAATAAAATAAAACTGCTATCCCCGAGTGACACATGAGTGTCAGTGTTAGTCAAGAAACGCTGAGGCTCTGCAGTTCTGTTTGTGCATATTCTCTTATGTTTGGGTACAGTTTGAAACTAGCTGAAATATTCCTCATTGTGCAAKAAAATAATTCAAAGAAAATGCTTTAAATGACTATGCTTTCTGTTAAAGCTGAGACCATCATTAGATATCTGCTGTATTGCCTCTTTCTAAGGGCAAGAAAACTTATTCCGTGCACATGGATTAGGAAAACTTTATCTCTGGATCCAAAGAGTGGGGTCTGAGGAAGAAAAAAAGGAGGAGAAGAGAGAGAAAGGCCAGGGAAAAGAAAAGGCAGTTTGCTTTAAAATGCTCATTTCCAGAACTGYGCATCATTAAAACAATAAAGCAAGACAACATGCTACAGGGAAATTCCCTATAGGCCATGGAAAGCTAGGTTTTAGAATTAAATCCAACCCAGCAATACAAAAGGGATGCTGCATATCCTGGGCCAAAGACCCCCTGAGATTAAAATGAAATTTTCCATTGATTTCAACAAGCATCAAATTTAACCCCCAGAAGAATCACATATATATACTAAAATCACCATTGCACCTGAATTACAGACACAAACATTGGTGCAAACAGAGTCTAAAGGACAAAAGCTGTTAAGGGAATGGTCCTTCAGTCATTTGGTCTGCGTTCAACAAGCAGCAATTCCATATTCCCACATCTGTAGCTCATTAGGCTAACACCAGCAATACCACAATCATACCTGCCATTACTGAAGGGGGACTTGCAAGAAGTCAATGAATCAGAAAGTGAAGAAGTGTTTTCAAGGGGGTGAGGTCCAACTGCAACCCCCTGCTGTGCGGGGTGCTGGAAGGAAGGCAGGAAGGCGCCGGCGCTCCGCGCTCGCCGCAACGGGAACATCCAGCTCCGGAGCCCGCGGCCAGCACCATCGAGGGCCACTGGATCCTCCCAAAGAGAACCCCTTGTACTGACACTCTCCASGGGTGACAAGGGCAGGAAAATAAATACAGGGCCGAAACGCTGCAGAGAGGAGAAGAGAAAAGGCCAGAGACAACCAGGAGCAGCATCTGCGCGGGGAGGCGGCACAAAGGCCGCCGCAGAAACTGCTGTAGTGGCCTTGGCAGCGGCACAGAAGGAAGGTCTGAGCCCTGCTGTGCTTCCAGGCCACCTTGCTCACGACCTTGCAGGCAGACACCTCACCCGACCCGGCGCCGGCTGCTTGTCCTCCCAGCGCCACGCGCCAAGCCGGAACATTAGCTAATCTCTACTGGCCAAAAAAAAAAAGGGAAAAATCCAAGTTCTGTGCTGGAAGGAACCCCCTGGCGAAGGCAGCTCAGCCCTCCAGCTCTTGCCATTACCATCAACGTGCAAACGCAGATCTGCTTGAATATGCCCCATGCCTGACAAAATCTAGCAGCTTAGTTAAACTAGTAGTTATAGAAAGTGGAAACGTGTGCTTTTGTTTAAAATCAACAGGTACTGAGTATGTAAAATAATTTTAAGCAGCTCACTGGGAAGTTCTCAACTGTCAAGTGAGCCAGTGGACAGAGAAAAATGGAAGATTTATGTCTTTTTTAATGGACTTTCATTGAATGCACACATTAATTCATTTATTTTTTGATCACAGCCTATTATTTATTACATTGGGCTCTGGCACAGCAGATCTTCTCCAGTCTTTGTATGACTTCTAACAATGAAAAATATCACATGAGTTTTTTGAGGGCTGACAACACTAAAGCTTTTAAAGAGTTATTCAGGACAAGGGAAAAGTCCTCGGGACCGTGTTTTCACTATGCTCACCACCCACCAAATTCCAGCTGTTTGTTCTTAAGCTTTTTCAGGAGGACAAAAAAAAAGTTTAGAGTCTTGGATCTCACCTCCACAATTCAGAAAAGGACTAAGGGAATATCCAACATCAAACTTGGTACATATCAGACCAAAACACCTAACTTCAGAAAAGATTTACTGAAAAATTAGTCACTCTCGAAAGAAGTCTCCTGCAGTATTCTGCATCTTCAAGCCTTTTTCCTTCTCTGAAAAGCCTGTTCTCTAGTAACACAGTATCAAGATTGCAAAACTTCATAAAAAATAAGACTGAAATAAACATAAAAAGGAAAGAATTAAGGTTGTTATGCAAAAAACTTTTAATTCTGACATTATCTAACCTTTAAAAGCTTGACTGTGCAAGTATAATGTGTTTAAATGTTGCTTCCCAGATGAGTTTCCTCCGCCTCATTATAGCAACATTCACACAGATACAGATGGATGATTTAGATGCAAATCTGGGCAGACTTCTGCTGCGTTCACTTACAGAGCCCTCATCTGCGGGAACAGCAACTGGAGCGGGATGAGCAYTTGGAGGGAACGCTTCCCAGCGACCGAGCGGCACAGACGACGTTGACTTCCACCGCAGGCCTCACCGGGCACTGACCTTTCCCGCACACAAATGCATGGAGCCGTCCTGGTGCTGTTCCTGAGGCTACTCCTGAGGTCCCATAACGAGGTGCCATTCCTGAGGTTACTCCTCTGGCTCCTCTTCACGTAGCCAGGTTGGTCCCTCGGCCTGCAGAGCCCTCCCCAAACCACTTGGGTCCAGCCCTGCCGGCGGGGCAAGTTCTTGTCACAAAAACTCCTTTATCACAAAACTCCGTTTCCC